ATCGAGAGAAAAATTAATGTCTACTTCGTCACGGCCCCGGACAAGTCCCCGCGGCCGATACTTTACCTCACGGGTTGAGACTTAATATGTTTATTGCTGTGAGAATGTCGGCCTCGGATAGGTGGTAGATTTTTATCTGCAACGCGCCTTTTAACTCGTCTCTCGTAACATTCAACGACTGAAAAGCGTATCCGGATCTTCTCTCCGCTCGATTCTCGATTCGGCTTTCGTCACTGGATCTAATGACGTTCCTTTCGATGTTGCAATTTTTTATATCCAGCGTATAGATCACATCGATATCTATGGGGTTAACTTTAAACAGATGCTTTTCCAATACGCGTATGCTCAATTAACATAAACCAAAGGGACCGGGGTAATTGTCAAGTCAATTGTTTCATAATGGATTTATTTCTTATCAAAAGGAATTAATTAAATTATTAAAAGATTTTTCGAAGCCGCGTAATTATAAAGTATTTTTGTAACAAGATAAGTAATAATATAAATATAAATATAAATGAATTAATAAATATGCATTATCATCCTGAGGAAAATGACGAATATTTAGACACATTAATTTATATTTATGTCAAATCGATCATTGATCTGTTACTGTTTTCTAAAATAAAATTTTCAAAAAAAATTTTTATATGTCCTATTTATGCATTATTTTATTGTTTTATTAAAAAAAATTTTGATAAATCTTTTGTAATTTCAAATCGGTAATAAAAATAGCAATGCTTAATATTTACAAATTTAACAGATTGCTTTTAATGTACAAAATTTATGTAAAATTATTGCCTGAATTCTAGAAATAAGAAATTCTATAAAGCAATTAAATTATGAATGGAAATTAATTATATAAATATTTTTCATAGTTCTATCGATAGGAACGGTCTCTATGCAGGTCTCTATATTTGGTGTAAGCTGAGGTCATCTGTTGGATCAAAGAAGAACTAAACTGAGATTAATTGCTTTAAAAATGGTTACTATATTCAATGAATAATAATCATAAATAATTATTTGATTTTATTATATTTCCTTCATGTATCTTAATTCTTCTCAAATTTCAATAAATATTTTCTCATGTTAGAATAAAATTATAAGAATATTACCAAAAATATATAAGTTGCTTATCCAAGTTGTCTATCCGTTTATGCATTTTTTTCTTATTTAGACACAATGCAAAAGGCACATAAAGAACTTCGTGAGCAAACCGTCGTACCGATCGAAGGCCAGTATTTGGATGTTCGCGAAAAACGTATCGATATACTACCGATAGTCGACAATAAAGAATTGAGGTAAAATCTATTCAGAGTTGTTAAATATTTTTTCATTACTTCCAAATAAGATGATTTAACATAAACTCTTGAGTTCTTCATTATAATCGATATTTTTCGTCGGTGATGCGTAGGAAGGATTTAATCGCGCGCATTGAGGCTGTTACTCTGAAAATGATAGAACAAATATCTGCCGGACGAGCACCGTGTGTATCGCATTTTAACAGCCGGAACGTTATTTCGAAGTCGAGAACACGCGAAGAAAACGTTTATCCAGGATGTTCAACCGATGCCAATTTTGTCGAAGAGCAAGATGCGAATATAAAAAGTTTGAAAAATTCTAAAAAGACTAAGGTCAATTTTGCGGTGAAACAGAGCAGAGATAAATTCGTTCTTATGGCGGTGATAATGGCCGAGATTCATCGTTTATTGCTAACCAACACGAGCAGAACTCAACGATCGTTTTATTATGATTTAAAGAGTGAAAAAACAACCAAATATTTGGTACCTCGTCAGATTAATATCAACCGTACGTTGAACGATATCGCTAATTTGTTAGAATGCCCGCCGTGGAATTTGAGTGAGTCAACTTACTTAATTAGGAGAATTAATTATAATTGTTAATTACATATATCGATTAAAAATTATATCTTTAAGTGATATAATAATAAATATGGAAAAGGAAAGATGGAAGAACGTTCTTGCAGGATTATTGGCTACGGCTAAAGGATTAGTGGCGGGAAATATGACCATTACGTTAATCGATAATCAAATCATCGATTGTTCGATACCGGGTGGCACGCAGATCCCGCAAAGTATTACGAATATAACTTTCATTCGCGCGAAAGCCGAGTTTATCTTGGTCATCGAGAAAGATACGATCTTTCAAAAGTTGCTCGAAGAGAACTGCCCTAGCGCCTTAAAATGCATTTTAGTAACAGGAAAAGGCTATCCGGATATAGCTACGAGGCTGCTGGTGAAGATGCTGTCCGAGAAGACAGATCTTCCTGTCTACATCATTGTAGATGCGGATCCTTTTGGCGTGGATATTATGTTAACTTATCGGTAATTTCACCGTCATTTTTTTATCCAGAGCTTTCCTTCTCGTACGGAAAAAAGGAGAGAATTTACGTTTTCTAATTTTTTTTTTTTTTTTTTATTCGCAATTTTTTTCAAGACAGAAAAGTTAGGTGTATCATGTAACTTGTATATTTGATTTTTCAATCAATTCCATTTCTACGTTTCCATTATGCCGGGCTTCCGCAGCTTCGGTTCGTCCACCCTTCGTAGAGAAAACAAGAACTTGGCTTGTCCTAACGCGCGCTGGCTCGGAATCCATCCTTCGGACCTGATTGGTCTAGGAGCGAAAACAAGCCCGCTTACCAACGCCGATCTCGTAAAATTGAGATCCATCGAAGCCCGGGATTACGTAAACGAAGCTATATCGAAGCAGCTGAACATATTGCGGAATGGCAAGGCAGAAATAGAGGCGGTATCGTCTTTCTCAAAGAACTTTCTTACGGAAACGTATTTATCTTACAAAATTGACGGCCAGGATTATATTTAAAGCGTAATTTGGTGAAATTTTTGGGGGAAACGTAGTTAAAAAATATTAAAAAATATTTAAACTAATCTTATAAAATTGTCATTATATTTTTTATTCAAAGAGATATGTCAAAAAAGATTTAGTTGGAATTTTTGTAGCTAATATATGTATAAATATATATATATGTTACTTCAAACAACTTTATGTCTCTCTTTTGGTATTGACCCATACTTCTGGTTGAATAACTTTCTCGGGGAAGCTTTCGCTGCTATCCTCTAACGTTATAATCTGCGGATTTTTATGAAACAAGCCTAGATATACAACACTGCTGTCGGATGGCCGTCTCGATGGGATAAGAGATTCAATCAGGTCTATTTTTATTTCACGAAGACTTTTCGAACGCGTTTGGTATGGATGCTCATGCAATCTTGAATATGAAGTTTCAGTCCCTCAAATAACGTATGTTACAGAAAAGATAATAAATAATAAAATTATAATATTTACCGATCGTGCGAATAATTGACGAATTTGTGCTTGTGAGAGTTTCCTTGCCTTAAACCGTTTGAGGAAATCTTGCATTTCCTTTTCCTTACTCGACGAGAAACCATAATTAAGCCTGCAACGTTTCGATGTCTTAATTATGCTACACTGTCAGAAATCGCCCATCAAAGATGCAACATTAAGAAAGAATTAAGAAACTTCAGATAATATAACAGTTTATTGAAAACACTTTATCCGCCCGATGCTCGGGCCGAGCTCCGCTGATATTAAAAAACGCAGAATCTTAATAACATGATTATTTCGTGGATGTTACGTGGAAGGTAACTTGGATGACATCCGCGAAATCGGCGGCACGTTATGAACGAAGTTAACTGCAATCTTCTTTCGAAAATTCGATCGTTTTATCTTCACAATTTTTTTTTTGTCAATACATCGATTTACAATAGACAGATTTGAAATACTTCGTAATAGATTTTAATAAATTGTGATAACCGATTGCATAAAATGAAAAAAATAAATAGATTTTACAAAAATATAAAAACTTTTAAGTAATATATTTCTGATCTCTAAAAAAAACATGAAAATATAATCCAGTAATAAATTTCTTTAAAACGATTTAAAAAATTCTTTTTTTTTTTTTTCTTATATCGACATATTTTTATAAAATTGAAGGAAATTTCAAATTGAAATTTTCGAATTGATCGACCAGCTTATAGTCCCCGAAGATTCATTGCTTATTTTTCGACATTCGTCGGTACCGACTATTAATTGGCCGATTTCGTGGATATTTCCGGTGCAGGTCCGTGCGAATATCGCCAAAAATCGAGTAGAAATAACTTCGTGCCCGTTGCAATCGCAGGCGAGTATCGATCGAACAGCCTGAAACGACATCGATCACTCTCGTGGAACGCGTGTCGAGCATTTCGATGTGAAATAGACATATAAAAAACAATCTTTCGAGATTGCCGGACACGCTTCCGAGCGGGCACAGACGTGTTTGAAGCTACAAATTGTTGAAAAAAAGCGTCACTCGTCCTCAAGAAGTCAATGTACTCTCTGCCGTTAGCTATAATCGTTATAATCGATCGCCAAACGATTAAATGTCAAAATCTTCTATATTCATCGACTTCGAATACGGAGAAGGAGACAAAAGTTTTTAAATTATCTAAAATTTATATTCAGTGTTTTTTTTTTTTTTCCTCTTAACGATCATCACAGATTCTTACAGATAGAATATCATATATCTAATTTTTCTGTGAGAAATCAGTGAATATACTATAGCTTACTCCTTTTTATCTAAATTGCCGGATTTAATTAACGCGTTCTGTTTGACGATCGTTCCGATCGGTCGACGACCGATCTACACGACGAGTGTACTTAATTCGCATTAATTTATTTATGCGTTCGCACGGGCCCAATCCTCATATTGACTTCCGCGTGAGAGAGTTATCTGTTTTTAATATATTGCGTGTATATGTGTGTGTTGCGTATATCTTTACGTATGCCCATATGACTGTAACTTTTTCTTTGCCTTTTACGATTTTTTTTTTTCTCTTTAGCGGCGATAATACATTACCAAAAGCTATAGATACCCTTTATGCGCTGCTACCAAGGTGTCTTTGTTGCGATTAATTTCATAATTCGCGTGTTGCGTGCCTGCCTTCGTGATAATTTTTTTCCGACGCCCTATACTTACGCGCGTTTAATGATTTGCCTCACTGTCTGCCATTATTATAGTTAATAATTGATTGTGATTTAAACAGGTACGCACACTCACACACACACGCGCGCGCGCGCGCGCGCGCGCGCGCACACACACACACACACACACACACACATACTCATTCGCTTTACTATCGTTACTCTTTCTTCCTCTGCCCGTCTTCTTCTCCCTTCTGTTTTCTCGCATTTCCAATTCCAATCGATCGATCAGTCACTCATTCTCCCGCTTTTCGGATCAAACAATTCGCGTTTCGCTCGCTCGCGTTATATTTATTCGGGAATAAATGGAAGCGATATTGTTGACAACAAACATTTTGTTTCACTACAAACGACCATTCATTTTTCGCGAAATGGAGGAATCCGATTGAAAATAATATGCGCGTATATTTCGCGTATTACACGCGACGTTAATTTCAAAGATTTGAAAGATTCGATTACGTCTCAGATAAGAATCTGATTTTTTTCAATGTTTAACATCGAAAGTTGAAGAGTGGAAAGGTCGCGGGGCTGAAAAGGTCTTCTCTAAAGATAAATCCATTCGATGGGGAAATTTTCCGAAGCCTCCATTACGCGTTTACATCTTTGTACTTTCTACAGTCGACAGCGGGCACATCATCATGACCCTTCGCATCTATAATATTTTTATCCTCGCAAAAATCGCTCTCGCGAAGTCTTTTCCCGGCCGCGATAATTTAGCAATAACTAGGCTTCGCGTTGCGGTTTACAATACGCACGAACCACCGCAGCGATCATTTTCACGAGTATTCATTAAAATTATTATGTTAATTTTCTCTTCTCTCCGTTTCTATTTATTATCGTTTGATTAGTTGCACTAGCCTTGATTGTCGGCTATTTAAGGGCTGCTGGTACACGCAGCGTACACATGGCGACGTGCGCCACTTCCTCGTCTGAGCGCGCCTCTTCCCTAACATTCACAGAATTAACATTCACAGACTCGTAAATTACCTTTATTTTTGAACAACTAGAAATTATATTGACATTTTAGTCTCGAATATCATCTGCGATTTTTTTTAAATATCTTATATAACGAATCTTGTTTTACGGGAGAAAAGAAGAATTCCTCCTTGCGAGCGAATCGAACTAATCGGAGCATCTTAATTTACAGCAAAATTATAAATATTTTAACATATAAAAAAATATAAAAATTTAACACAAAAGACTTATTACTGTTGATGAGAAGACAGAACTTTCAGAGTTTATAATTCTTCGAAACAAATCGTGACGTCATCAAATGACGCAGGGCGATAATTCTTCGAGGGTATACACTTTGATTTTTTTTTAAATACGTACGTAAAAACGGATATCGTAGAAACGTCGATATCATCGCAGATATTTCCGAGACGTTTACGAGTCCTATTATTCCCTCGATGACGTCGCTGTCGTAAGGTTTCCGAGCGTTCGCCTTTTTTTTTTTTTAGTGGAGCAGCAAAGTCAGTTATATGTGACAATAAGCGTACGGGTGTCTCGCCATATCTTGTCTTTCGCTGTTCCACCTGAAAAGAGTACGGCAAGCAAGCAAGTACTCGGGAGCCTCAGCCATCGAATACCGATCGCGCTTGATCGATGATCGACAGCTACTTCTCGACGATCGTCAAGTCGTATCGTCGTATCTGTCTTTTTAGCGCAGTCGTTCATCCATTTGGGATCGATCGATGTCTCGAAATCTCGAGGAGGTATATACGATGATACTCGCACCTTCGACGAGATCCGGGTTTGCCCGCGTGCTCCGACAAGCATATATATTTTTTTCTCGTATCTCGTAATCTTTGTCGAAAATCCATTATTTAGAAACATTTCTATAATACCGCTTGTCTTCACGTGCGGTTCGTGCGAGACCTCGTCGAAGAGGCTTCACGTACCCCTCCCCCTCCCTGGGTGTATATGTATGTACAAATATTCAAAATTCAAACGGGAGGAAAGAGGTACGGGCGGGTCGAGACGGAGGAAGGGGAAGGGGAGGTCCGGGGGAGGAGAGGAGAGGTACTAAGGATCTGTGTGGAACAACTTCTTACGCGTGTAACATTATAATACATAGAACTAGGCGCCAAGCTGTACAACACAAAACTCACAGTAGCCGTCCGGATTCTACATACAATACGGTAAATATATGTCGATGCCTGTGGACGAACGTCACCGCGTAGATACTTTTTCTCCGTTTAAAATCGGGGGGAGGCACCAGTGACATAGCTAGGAAAGAAAGAAAGGAGAAACGTGTAAGACGGAAGCTTGCAAACTATTTTCCTCCCGGAAACACGTGGCTCGATTCGGCAGAATCCTTCTGGGAAGTGTGGGACACAAAGAAAAGTGCAAGTTTGCAGACTCCCAATAATAAGCTCTGTACGTCGAAGTGTTATTCAATCGGCCTTTAATCGCTCTCTCACGAAATCTTAGGCTTTTTTTTTTTCCAACCTGGTGAACGCCCCTGGGGACTTGGAACACAGCAGGACATTAATGGCGAGCTCGCGAACAGCTCGGCGTCGGTCTCGCAACGTCGTCTCGATGGCGCTGCGCGAACGACGCGGACTTTTGCGAGCCGCCGATAAGCTCCGCACGTAATAAAGTTCGGTCTGCGCCTTCGCGCCTCGTTTCTCTCGTCTCGTTTCTCGAAACTCGCCCGAAATCGATTTCACGGCATGTACGCGCGTTTGCCTCTGCAATACTTTTTTTGTGTTTTTTTTTTTGCGACGCGTGCGTCATCGTTGAACGAGTCGCTCGCGCCGTTCGGTGGAGAATCCAGCTATCGAAGCTTTGTGCAGGAAACGCGAGCGGCATCGTTCGACGATGTAAAAAAAATCCTCGTTGGATATCTTTTGTTTCTTGGTTTCTTTTGATTTCTGGTTTCTTTCACGGTCCGGCGATCGACGGGTATCACTGAATGCACGTCTAGAGAGAAAAGTGAGTGATTTACCCATAAGAAAGAGGAATCTTTAGACAAATGGTAGGTATACGTCATAACAACATTGCTCGTACAAACTCTGTTTTACTCTCATTTTCTTCGAATCCGTTTCCTCTCTCGTCTCTTTTCGTCTTTTTTGCCGCGTAAACTCGTACGTACGCGCGTCAAACGGCGTCTCTTCTTCTTCGCGAATAAAACATTCTCCTCTTCTTCGCGAATAAATGACCTGTCTCTCGATTTTCTCACGTCCCCAAACAGTGGCGATTCAGGCTCTAAACGAGGAGGTCATCCCGTTTACGAGTGTAATTGCCGTGATCTCGAGGACGACGAGTCTCCGTATTAACGTCCGTGTTGGATGTATCGGAAATAGGCGCACTAGAGACAACAAAGGATTCTTCGGTTTGAGGCACTAGGAGGCATCCAGGGCGAGGCACTGGGCGAGGAAGTCCTCCATGGAACGATAAGCGTGTTCGAGTACACCCCTCAGGGCGTGATCTTCGTCCGCGTAACTCTGTTTTCAAGAAGGAAGCGACAATTAGAGACTCGCGTGCTCTTTCGCGAAAATCTCTCGTATCGTTCGTTTCGTTTTCGTTCTCTCACCTGATATCTAAAGATGACTCCCGCTTCGGACAAAGCCTTGGCGAAGGCAACGCCGTGCGTGTAAGGCGCTGTGAGGTCGGCTAGGCCGTGAAGAAGATAAAGGCTGTGACTGGGCACCAATTTCGCCCGTTGCGTAAGATCAGCCTCCACGTAACCCTTGTAATTCTCAGCCGGAGCACCGAGGACCCGTTCCGTAAACGCGGAATCTGTGATGATCGAGGCGAGCGATTAAAACTCAGCAAAAATTAAAACGAGAAAACGACGCATCGTTTTCTCTTTGAAATTCATCATACGCTTACTATAATACATCCAGTCGGCGATCGGATTCACCGCGACGCCGCACTTGAAGACGTTCTCCTGATTACCGAGGACCATGGCGGTCACATATCCACCGTAACCCCATCCCCACACGCCAATTCTTTCGACGTCGAGATACTTGTGCGTTTTCAAAAGGTGTTTCAATACGGTAAGCTGATCCTG